AATAACAAATAAAAAAATTTTGTGGTAACAATATTTAATATTTGAGTACAATATTTGATTTATTGAAACCTTTCAAATTAGTTTTAATTGTATTACAAAAATATTTGATCAAAATTTGGTACTGCTGCGACAAATTTACCCTATTGTTTTTGGCTTCTAAATTTTAATATTACTAATTTATAAACAAATTGTTTTAATCATTTTACATAAATTCATTCTTGGTTTAACTTTCAGTTTTAAATTTATAGCTATTAAATAGACAATTTTATGAAGATTTAAAAAAAACTTGATGCGTCATCAAAAACCAACATAATCGTTATTGATAAAAAAAATATAATGGGTTGTGGCATCAATGAAAAAGAATAAAACAGTACGACCAGATGAAGTGCATGTAGAAGTAAGGTGATCCTGAGTAGGTGGGATAAAGGTAGAAGACCAAAGTTGAAGAAGAATAAACATTTTATGAGTATACATACATAAAACAAAATAATGCATTTTATAGAAAGAGATTCAGATTGAAATTTATATTTTTACTATCAGTAATATAAAATTAATTTAAACAATTAAAATTTATATTAAATATGAATAATTATGTAAGATAAGGCTATGGATAATACAAAGATTAACCATTTTAGATAGTACTGACATGAAATAATTATTTAATTTATACTTACCAGAAAAATAAAAATTTTTGACAAGTCAACAAATGAAAAATAAATAAAAATACTAAATTTGTAAACAACTTAATTTAAATAGTTATTATGAAAGGAAACTTTACCCCTACTCTCTGTAAACTTAATATTAAAAGCTGATAAAAATAATTATAAATTTCAAAGTTGTGTTAAATAGTCTGAATATATATATATAAAGTATAACTAAATTAATACTCAATATTTATCTTATGACATACCATATACTGTTGTACTTGTTTATTGGTAATTGTATATTATTAATTTGTATAACAAAATATGAGTAAATGATAAATAAATATTATAAAAAAACATTTTATAGACATAAGCTAATGTTGCTGTTTACANTAACAAAATATGAGTAAATGACAAATAAATATTATAAAAAAACATTTTATAGACATAAGCTAATGTTGCTGTTTACAGTAGCAATATTTATTAAGTTGTGGTTGAGATTCAGCAATACACCAACTTTGATTCCCATATTTATTTATTCGACTTATATCTTTTTCCTAAAAATAAAAATATTGTTTATAAATTTGTATCATTATTTTTCAATCCTTTTTTTATAATTTTATTTTAATTATTCTTTAAATAAAAATTATAATAAATACTCACATATAGAATGAACTGGTTGGCATTATTATCATACTGACAGGAAAATTCAAATATAGCAAATGCTGGACGAGTAATAACCTTAAGTTGTAAATAAAATTGAGTTACTTTTGTATCACTTGACATAATTGGAACAAAACCATCTTTATCAGCTGAATGGTGAAATTTCAACAACCCTTCATTGGGAGCCATCTTATTAGCCCACTCTATTTTTTCTAATTCTATAGTAGCACAGTGGTTTGTGAATTCCAAGTTATAACTATCAATAATTAAAAAATCAACAAAAATTTTAATTAAAAAATATAAACTAAAATTTTATACCGATTAAGAAATTTTATAAAAAATTTTGCTGCTTCGATAGCAAAATGATGATTAATATCAATTGGATCCCACTTAAGACAAGTACACCAATGAGGTTCAATATATGCATCTTTGCATGTTCTGTTTAATGGTATCTTAAATAACATATTATAAAAAATATGTTAAATATTATCAATCAGTAAGAATAGCGACAACTTCAAAAATTTTTATTTTTAAACAAATATAAATAAGAAACTTCAAATTCCAAAAGTCAAAGTTTCATTAAAGAGCTTTACAAAAATTAATTATTCATTACTTAGTGTATTATTATCAATTGTATTATGCTTCTCTTGTAAAATTTTGATTTCTCGAGTCATATCTCTATTTTTGCAGATAGATAATCTATTGGCTAATAATGATTACAAAAGGGAATATAATATCTCCACTTCTGTGTAGTACTGAGTCAGTTTAATTATTAGAAAAATATCACTATATCTTTACCACTTATATATCATTAATATCACTATTATCAAATTTTGGTGTATTACTATNCACTTATATATCATTAATATCACTATTATCAAATTTTGGTGTATTACTATTTAAAATATTGCCATTTATTTTTTGTTCTCATTTTAGTTGTAAAATTTATATTTGTTTTAATATAATATAAATTAAATTCACAGTTTTATTAGTCTAATGAGGCAAAAATAGTTGTTTGCTTCTCTCAAAAAGTAAAAATAATGGACAAGTATTCTTTGCATTTTAGGTACAGATATTTATTTATTGTATAATATTATAAAATCTGATTATATAAAATAAATAAAAATTAGATATAAAACAAAAAGAAGTACAAGCAGGGTTAAGAAAGTAATAAGTCATGCAAGAAGTATACCAAAAACAATATTTAAGCAATATTATATAAATAATTACAAACCAAAC